CCTGTTTGCTGGATGAAATTTTGTGAAACTATAGGTTATTGATGTTTTCCATTTGTTATTTGTACTTGGTTACTTTAATAGTTATCCACAAAATTTTGGTTTTTGGTAACCTTTATTTTTATTTTCAGCTAAAGGTACTATGGATAATTACTTACAGTTGGGTTGTAATTTTAAAATAGAACTTAGATGTTTGGAAGTGAAGATTCATAACGATATTTTATATATATATATATATATATATATCTTTAGAAGGTATTTTCATTTTAAATTTCCTTCCTTTATTTCCTTTTATGTGTGAATGTGTGTATCTGTGTGTGTATGTATGTGTATCCATGTGTGTGTGGTCATGCATATATGTGTGTACACATGTGTGTGTCTGTGGCATGTGTGAGTCATGTGGGGTCAGAGAACAACTTCAGTAGGCAGCTCCTTCCTGTCATTACTTGAGTTCTAGGGATCAACTTTAGATGCCAGGCTTGGAAGAAGGCACCTTTACCTACCTGTTGATCCATCTTGCTGGGCCAGGCTTTTTAGAACCTCAGGAGGGTAGTGACATATGTTTCCATTTAAGATACTGATTTAGGATGTTCAGGGATATCTTTACAGAATGTAAGTTTTCAATTTGGAATTATGAAAACTTATATTGTCTTTGGCACATTTAACACCCTCCCTAATTAAACACACGTAAGCCTAGTTGTATTGTTTAAAGTCATCTCTTGTTTTAAAATGGGTTCTGGGGGTTCGGAACACATCCTTGGAGTCTGACAATATGGATTTGGATCCTCCCCTCACTGCTGAACTCACCCACTCTTCTAAGATGGCCGAAGGGTGAAGAGAGAACATAACACCTCCATGTCATACACATTAACATCTGTGATGCCAAGCCCCCAAGGAGTACAATTTTCCACCTAAGAGGAAATGTCCTCCAGTTTCTTTTGTCATAGGAACAAAAAGTCTCTGTGCCTTCACAACAAGTCTCCTCTTCAGAATTGACGTGATCTGCGAGAGCAACCAACTCAAGTGTGAAGGGTCCAGACACAGCCAGTTTTCTACTGTGGCTCTTCACCTCAGTGAGGACTTGGCCACCACTCAGGGAACGTGGACAGGGATCTCCAGAAGTTAATTCCTGCCACTCTCTACCTCCATCTTTTAAACTGTTAAATTACTGCCCAGAAAAGTAACAAACAAGTGAAGTAGCTCACAGGCTCAGATTTGACTGTCGAGAGTTTTACAGGAGCCAAATCTTCAAACAACAGTTTGTGAGAAGTGACCCAAGGAACTCCTGTGCGGTTGCCCTTTGTTTTACATTCCTCTAGTCAAGACATATGTTCAGCCAAGCTTGGAAAACTAGGCTCACACTATGACAATAAAACACAGGGCTAATACTTTCATATTAGAATAAAAAGCAATATAATGACATGGATAAAGGTAAAACCATTGGAGCAGTGTTTTTCTAGACACAGTGCCTTGGCATATGATACTCAAGCATTTTATTAACAACGCATTTGTTGAGTGTTATCTCAGAGATCGTGACTCAGTAAATCTAGCCAGTTGGAGCCATCGTGACATCCTGAGAACTTTGAGGATATGATGGTTGGCAAAAGTTCAAGCAAACAAATACAAAACTCTCAACTTTACGTATTTTGGTTTCATGTGACTTTTCACTTTAATCCAGATTAAAATCAGTCAGCAGAACTGACTTCAAGGGATCCCTGTGTAGACCAACTTAGAAGCAGGACTCAACTCTTCATTACATAATGATCAGATCCTGAGATGGCACCATGTAACATTCCCCGTGACATGATATAGGGGTTGAATCATGCATCCAAAGATGCATGGAGATCAATGTCCTGCAGATAAATTAGTGGATGGTGTTTCAGATTAGAAAACAAAAAGGGTTTACTGCAAGGATCCTTTATTATAGGGTCTCCTGTGCATTTAAAATAGAATTTGATATATACAAATACAAAAATTTCATTCAGCTTTGTAGGAAGACAGATATATGAAACCAAATCTATAAATGTTTAAGAGAGAGGAGGAAGGAATTCTGGAGTTCAGAAAGTCCTGGAGAGCTGGTGCACCTCAATGTCCTTATAGAATGGCAACCAACTGTAGACCTTTTAAAATGTGAATTTAACTCTCATTTTAGAAAAATTAAATACAGCTGCTTTTTAACCTCACAATAATAATCTAATGCAAGTCACAGAACACCGTTAAAAATAACTTACCAGCGTTCTGGTGTTTGTTTGCTGTTAAATTTTCCAAACATTTTCTCCCATTGTACTTTAAGTCAAAGTACAGTTTCTGGTTGCTAGCCTGCTTCACCCTTGTGATGATGTCACAGACTTTAAAGCATCAATCCTGGATCATTTGTGGTTGGCATCTCAACTTAGGCATAGTACAGCGAGTTCATATGGTAATGGGTGTAGTTGGAACCTTTACGGTTGGTTACAATTTATCTGAATTCTCACCGCAGAGCCGACCTATCAGGAACTTAAACCTGGTCTGACTGCTTAAACTGCTATTCAATATGAGTAATTCTTCAGTGCTATGAGATGGACTGTAGAGCTAGCTCAGTCAGTAAAGTGTTAGCTATACAAGTCTGAGCACCGAGTGTTATCTCCATGTAAAAGGCTGGGTGTGTTGGTGGGGACGCAGAACTAAGTAGATCCCTGGGGTATGATGGTTAACTAGATGGTTAATCTAGTGTCCTTGGATTCTCCTAGGTCCCAGTGACTGATTTTGTCCCTAAGACCGAGATGGACAGCAGCCAAAGAACAACATCTAAGGTTGATCTCTGGCTTCTACATGCCTGTGTGCACACACATATACAAGCAGGCACACATGCACCCTTGCACAAGCACACACAATTTTAATAGATTTACTCTGAGAATTACTTGATATCTGCCAGGCTCCTTGCATATTCCTGATCATGGGCTACCTACCCAAACATCTGACTTTCTTTCTTCTAGCCTACTAACAGTTCCTGCCCGCTCTCAGTTTTCATACTTTAAGTTTCTTAATTTTAGTGTTTAATTTGAGAGATGGTATCTGTCTTCCAGTCAGGAATAGTTAAAACCAAGTGTATTTTTACTCCCCTAAACAGTTTATTTTAGAAAATATTTTTGCAAATAAATTTCTCAATTTCTAAGCAGTTTCTGAAGGCAGACAGACCTAAGTTCAAACTGGGATATGTTCATCTTGAGTGTTAAATTTGGCTTATATTGCCTTCCAAAATATAATTTATATAAAAAAATCTCGCTGGTTTTATGAGATTTCTAGAATGTTCAGGAGGGGACAGAGATGGAGACACAATAAACCCCCAAATATTTCCTAGTTTTTAGTATCTGTATCCATTTGAATAACTGATGTTTTAACTTTCTTTCTTATTATGAGAGTTCTTTTTAAAAAATTCATGACTTAAAAATTTTATATTTTGCCAAAACACAAAAAGACAAAGAAAATGTCTTCCTAGTTAATTCTGAGTCAAATGTGTACTCAGTTGAACATGTGATCAGCTCTGTACTGCGGACTTTTTACAACCACTAAAGGAGCTCAACATAGGCTGCTTTCTCTTTTCCTGCCTCTTGTTTTCCCTCTGTATTTTGCGGTCAGCTTGTCTCACATCTTGGCAGTGCTGATCCACACACTCACAAATGACCTTGTGTATTAAAAAATGTGTGGCTTGCAGGACTTCTGAACAAAGGATCATCAAGAGCAAGCCCAGAGCTTCTTCTGAGAAGAGTTCCCTGGACTCATAAAGTGTAGAGACTTCTGAGATGAATCAGAGCTTAGTAAATGACATGTCTATCTTCTTCTGTCTGTCGTCTCTGGGAGTTCTCTGGCTCTAGCCAGAGAGAGGGAGCTTTTAGTGTAAAGGAAAAAACAACATCTGGGCTTTGAGAGCGACTCAACCCAGTGGTCATCCTCTCTGTGTCCTTGGATGAGTCTCAACTTAGGGAGCATGAATTATATCTTCACAGGATTGTTTTAGGAAGGCAGAGTAAGACAGTTTATGAGATTTGTAAACCTTAGAATACTGCGTGGCTTTATTGTGTGTTTCAGCTGCTGCTGCTGCTTTTGTAACTGTGATGGTTCAGACTCCAGTTTTCAACTTCAACAACCAGGCAAACAGCTTTTTCAGTTGTTTAGATAGTGGGCAGTAGCCACGGAGGGGTGCACAGGGGTCAGGCAGGTGGTTAGAGAGAGAAAACTAATGCTGGAAAAGAGAAGTTATACATAAAAGGTTTTGACACACGTTAACAAATTTCATGTGTGTGATAATCTGTTCTATTCTTTTCCACCTAGTTTAGCAGATTTTAACACCAGTTACCAGCCACCCCCAACAAAGCAGAACAAAAAAATGACATAACCTAATATCTTATTTTTTCCCTTATCTAAAGACCTTTGGGCTTAATGCTAAATGTGAAAGATCTCAAAATTCTTAGGTTGTTGACTTCTTGCTATAGTTGAGGACACAGATTACTCCCAGCTACAGTTCCAAGGCAATTGATTGTTCCCATTGATAGTTGACTGTAGATGAACTGAAAACCTTTAGGAACATCTGATGGGGAGAAAGACAGGGTTAATTTTAGGAGTGTGGTTCCTGGTAGGTCGACCATGCTCCAGTTGGTGGCTCCACACACGTGTATATGAGCAGCATAAGTTGGACTCAGTAGGTTAAAGTTGGGAGGGATTTGGGGATGCAGATGGGGATGGATCTAGGAGAGCTGGGGGATGTGTTGAGGGGTGAATATGATCAAAATACATTATATGCACATAAGAGATTCTCAAAGAATTTGTAAAAATGATATATTAAAAATGTTTAAAGAAAGTGCTTTGCATCAGGAAATTAAGGACATACATTTGTAAGGCTCCTTTGGAGCCTTTTTTAAAATTATTTGTCAACTTGAGAAGTGTCTGGGGAAAGTTTGAAGGTGATTAATTTTACAAATTAATACTTCTTTGGATTTTTGGGAGAATGACTTCTAATGAAAAAGTTGCAAATAACATTTTGTTTTATATAATAAAATTCCATTTGATTTCAGACTCACAAAGAATAGATTTGTAACCCAGTTTAAATTTTGTTCAGAGCTGAATCTCAGTGTAAGGGATCAAGAACAATCAGAATAATACATTGCAAAGAAACAAGAAACTGGAAAACAATTAAGATTAAAATTAGACTTAAATAACAAAAATATTGAATAGCAAATAATTTATGCAAAATATTTTACAAAATCTGGGATGCTAAATATTTGATACAAGTACCGTGACATTTGTAGTTACATTAAAGTTAATGGTTTTCTTTTTCCATTATTTTGCTTTCCCTTTTTTTTTTTTTATTTCAACAGACATTTGCTTTACAATTTTGAAATTCGTCCTTCCTGGTGGTGTTTGTAAATTTTCTGTGATCAACCTGTGTGAAACTCTGTGCATACAGAAAGTATTTCTCAGGAGGGGTTAAGAATGAAGTTTGACCTCCCTTCTCACTAACTCTTTTCTCTGCCATTTTTGATTGTGTTTGAACTCTGTTAGACTGATATTTTTCTGCCTCTGCTTTTGATGTCATGAATATTAAGTTAAACCATAAAAATGCTTCTCTTCACATAACAGTGATTGACACTTGCTGTTTTAGAGTCCAACATTCAAAAGAAAAAAAAAAGAATGTGTGATTACCATGGACAAACTAATGATATCTCCACTAATAAACTGTCAGGTAGACAACAGATCCAAGTTGTCATTTCAGCTGTGGAAAAGCCAGGTTTTCTTAATTTGATTTGAATTCAGTTTAAAACACAATCATGTAACCCATATGTGATTTAGATCGATGTCTAATACTTCTTGGTTATTGTTTTGGATAATTTGTTGCTAAATCCCCAAAGGAACAACATGAACAAGGGAACAATAGACTGTTACTGTCTATTCTGGGGTGAGTTTTCTCCACTAAGCACATCTATACTGAAAGAACTAGATTTTTAATGTTCTTTCTCAGGTGTGGTACACAGTAAGAAAACTTCTGTATTTTTCCTTTGAGATATTCCCCAAATATAGTTTCACCTTCTAAATGAAAATTTGCCTTAAGAACCAGGCACAGTTTGAACTGACTTGTGGTTATTTTTAGATAAAACCACTTTGGGTTAATTAAGAGAAAAAAATTGCTACTGTACAATTATACCATATCCTCCCACCTTGGCCTGACAATAAGGAGATGTAACAGAAGGTTTTCTTTGTCACTGTAGCTGCACCTTTGAAGTGTATCAAAGTCTGTTGCTGTGGTTACGACCTTTGTTTCCAGTGATGTTTGGTCCATGCTTTCCCCTACCTACCCTTAACAATGGTTACTCAAAAGAATGAAATAATGAGTCATTCATTCGGAAATACTTAGTTAAAATATCCCTCTTTATCATTACATTTCACTGCTTAGAAACTAGGCTGTAATTCAAGGCAACAGTTAAGACTTAGAACTGTTAAAAAAAATCTGATTTTTTTTTCATTTATAAGAAAGAGCTGTCTATGTAATTGAAGAACCTCTTACACGTCTGAACAATTAAAACCTTTTTTGGTTAATGTATTATTTCTGGAACAAGTAGATAAAATTCTATGCAGTAAGCATGATAATGATAAAAATCGTGCATTGTTCGCACAGCACAGATTTCAGAGTCAAGGTTTCTGGGCACAAATGCAGTAACAAAACAGCCCCTACAAAACCGAGTAACTCTCAAGAACACAAGAAATAATGTTTGTTAATTTAAAATTTTAGAAACTGAAAGGTGTAAAGTTTGTAAAGTAAAGCATAATTAAATTATGGTACTGTACATACCAGTTGTTCCTAGAATTGAAACTTTATAATATGAAAAAATACATTAGCGCTGTACAATTTTTACACGTAGGTAGGATGAGTTTTGGAAAAAATGATTTTTTTTTCAGGGCCATTCTCTGTCAAAGTCAAAAAAATACTGCACAACTTAGCTAGTTACAAAGTATAGACTTGAAACAATTCATGTCTTCATTTATTTCATGAACCAATCTTGGAATTTTGTTTATTTGAACAGGGGAATTTTTGTTTTTGTTTTTGTTTTTGAGAGTTGCAATGAACAAATTTTCCTCTTTCTGTCGTTGAGGTCACAGTTGGGTAGCAAGCCTGGGCTACCGCTCAGCTCGGTCAAGCCAGCTGTGGTTTATGGTCACTGATGCGGCCAGCTGACGTGATTGTGCTCAAGTCCAGCTCAGTCTCTAGGTGGCTTTCCATGGTATCTTCCTGTGCATTCGTTTCAAAGGTCTTATGGGAGAGAAGTTCATGATGGACCCCACAGTAACTTATTGTGGGCTGGTCGTATGCCAGAAAGGTTGACACATTCATTGATAAAGGTATCTGGGAAAAAAAACGACATGAGAAAAGTCAGTTATCAAAAGACAGGCAAGTATCCAGGGGCAAGACTTGGAGACTGTGAAGTGTGGATCTGACTGTCCTTTGTGTTTGTATCTGTGGCTCCGCTGTCCCCGAAGTGTCCTGCTGCTCTCCCCCATTTTCACAGAAATGAATTCAATATGGAGGACTGAAAGCTTGAGTACAGCTGCTCGAATCTTAAGTAGAACCTGCAGATACACAGTAGTTTGAATGGGTCTAAAAAATGATAAAACATTTCTTCATTGGAGAGCCAAGAAAAGGACTTTCTCTAACTGGTCTGAAATGTGTTTTCAAACTAAGGAAAGTATTATTTGGTTACTTGTGTGTAGTATCAATCTTAAAAGGTCTTATTAATAAAAACAAACCTGGAGTCAGGTACTAGGGTCAACGCTGGAAGATCAGAGAAGCGGAACAAGCCACAGCCACCTCACCTTGTCAGTTCCTCAGCTGATCTTGTTTCCTCAGACTGGAAGCCTCTGAGTCCTCATCCAGAATGAATCTCAGCTGAACTGCTGCTAAAAGCTTAACTAGCTCTAGTTCCTGGTTTTCACGCCTTATATACCTTTCTGCTTTCTGCCATCACTTCCTGGGATTAAAGGCGTGAGTCACCATTTCTGAGTTCTTAGCAGTTCCCAGGCAATGACAGTACAGCTGCTTCACACACCTCGCTCTGAGGACTGTTTCAGGAGGGAACTGTCAAGTCATCCTGACTGTGCTTAGCCAGAATCTTGTCATTATTTCCTTAAGATTACTCCTGGAAACGTTAAGCTCTGTAGTTTGGTCTTTTTATCTAAAGGCTAGAGCACAGAGAACACTCAGAAAAAGAGACCTATGACTTCTGTAAAAGGTCTACCAGGCTGCCGAGAATGAAGCTGCTCTGAAGGACTAGTGGTCCAGCTAGGGAAGGGCGTCTTTACTAATCAAAGATGCTACAGAGTGTGGGCGACAGAAGCAACTCCGATGATGATGGACAGAAGGGAACACAGGTGAGAGACAACACCTGTGTCGTCTTAGGTACAACCAGATGCCAAAGTCTAGAGAACATCACTGCTTAGTTTCTTGATGAGACAAAAAGTTGTGGCAGCATTGAGGAGCCTTTAGCCCTGATCTTACTTTGTCTCCTGTGGTCTATACACCATTTAAGGGTCCTCCCAATCCTCAGGTCTTGACATTTACGTTTCCCTGTGGTGTATTAAGATGGTAGGAACAACCCGACTTGTGTTTAGAGCTGGGATTTCCAGGAGATGAGTAGAGTTGAATTGAGTAGAGTTGAATAGTCATTAGAGTTACACTTCCAAATATCAAGTCCTGTGGCTTTATGTAGGAAGAGACAGAGATGGAACAGAAGGGGCCTTAAAGGGACCTACACAGTCCCTGACTCTTACCATGTGAAGGTCTGTACTCAGCCAGCAAGAAGGCTGTCACCACATGAAGCCTTGAAACTTTTCACCTCTGGAACCCTTAAGCCCAAGTAAACCACCCTTATTTATAACTCAATCGGTCCACAGTGTTGTGTTATTGGCTCAGAAAACAGACCACTATAATTGCTAATTCACATGGCTGAATTTCTTTAAATGAAAACTTGTACCATTCTTGTTTGGCAAATGGATAAAACGCTTGTGCACATCAGACTAAATGCTTTTCCAATCTCAGATAAGAGCATGAAGCCAAGGGAGATAGAATGTCAAACCTTCATTATCTGCTTCTTCACTGTCTGCCCTCTCCTTTCCAGGGATAAAACTCCTTCCATCTCTTTTTCCACCCCTGACCTCTTAGGTATCTTTGTCTCTCCTTTTGTAAAAAAAAAAAAAAAAAAAATATTGTTTCCTTATTTCCTCTTTCAGTACAAACATTGTTTTTCTTTGAGATGATTTAATGATGAGTATTTCAATGTGTCAAATGTGTAGGTCTCAGTCCCTGGAGACAGAAGTATAATCTAGTTCACCCAGTGAAACTCAGGTGTAGTCTTTCCTAGTTTGTGGAATTCTGAAATTTGAAATATGAAATTATGTGGCACATGAATCAAATACAAACAATCATGACCGCTGGAAAGTCACCCAGATGGTGCACAGCAGCAAAGTAAGATACTTGTACTTAAAACCAGACTTCTTTTGTTAGAGATGAGTTATCTCTGATAACTAAAATGCTATCATCTAAAAATAATTGTGCAACGAGAGTATATTTAAGCTATAGGAGAGAAAAACTTAGAACCATTATTGGGTGCATAGTTTCATATCAACTTTTGGGAAATCGGTCCTAGGTGATGTGCTGTGGTCACATGTCTGCAGGATTGCAGTTGTTTTTATTAACTATAGAAGTGTACACCTCTCAAATTTATTTGGGATACCTCCTGGTTTACAGGGTTAAATCTACTGTGAAGAGTTTTGAATGCCCATGGTTAAATTTTGGCAAATAACATACGATGATACACTTATTCTCTGTGTGTTTTTGTGCAATACACATTTTCCTGATGCATTTAGTATCTAGAGGCTGCTGGTCTCTAGAAGACAAAGTCCTACTTTGAATCATAGCAATTAGATGGCTAACTCTGATTTTGTATTTAAAAATCCCACATTTTTCTTTATTGTTGAGTATATATTATTTGATAAACCTTATATATGGATATATTGTCTTAATGTCAGGGCATGTTTATATTTAATATTTCTGAAATTGGGGTAGTTCTTAAAAGCAGTTATTAAAAGATATTTGTATTTTCCCTCTACAATCAAAAGTAAATCTTGAAGTTAATGAAATCTTATTATCACAAGAATGGCATAGAAAGATGTAGCAGTGAGTAAAATCTAATAGCTTACCACATGGTAATATGTCACAGATTTTTTTTATGTTGACTTAAATGGTTTTGAGAATAAAAGAATTAGTATTGGGCATATGTATATCTATGTGTGTGTATGTTTATGCATTAAAGGAGTATATATATTCACATGAATTTGTATAGATGTAGATATGTATAATATATACATATATATTCATGATATAATAGCTAGAACTAATGCTTTAAAACCATTTAAATGAAGTCTGACAAATAAATTGTGTTGATCTGTTGATTTAGATAACTGTGACATATTTGTATTCCCAATGTAGGGTGTATACACATAAATATACATATTTCTACAGATGTCTATAAATATGGTATTAATATACATATGTATGTGTATTTACTCAGAAAGTTTTTCAACTTCAGTTCAAGTCAACTTTTCATGAATTATGAAAATTTTGCCCTGGTCTTTTTATTGGTAAGGTGAGATAATTTTTTTAAAACTATATCAATGCATTAAATTTGTTTCCAAATTTCTTTTTTTTTTTTTTTGGCTTTTTGAGACAGGGTTTCTCTGTGTAGCTTTGTGCCTTTCCTGGAACTTGCTTTGTAGACCAGGCTAGCCTCGAACTCACAGAGATCCACCTGCCTCTGCCTCTGCCTCCTGAGTGCTGGAATTAAAGGCGTGTCCCACCACCACCCGGCTTGTTTCCAAATTTCTTATTCGTAAACATTTCATACATATATGAATAACAAACTTCTTTATTATTGACTCACCAGATAGGTAAAGATGCATTAAGCCCTGTTCATATATGAAGTACCCAATGTTAGTGACCAGACCAAGTGATTCATGTTCAGAATAAAGTCAGTGATTTTCTTTTTAGTCTTACAAATGACATTAAATTTCAACTCATTTTTTTTTTTGGTTTTTCGAGACAGGGTTTCTCTGTGTAGCTTTGCGCCTTTCCTGGAACTCACTTGGTAGCCCAGGCTGGCCTCGAACTCACAGAGATCCGCCTGGCTCTGCCTCCTGAGTGCTGGGATTAAAGGCGTGCACCACCACTGCCTGGCTCATCAGATACTTATTTCAATTTTTAATTAAAACGTATTTTCAATTTCATATGTGTGTGGTATGTATGCATGGGTACGTGTGTATGCATATTTGTGTATTTTAGCATGTGTGGAGGTATGCACATATGTGTGTGAAAGTGGAGCCCCAAAGCTGATGTCAAGAATCCTCTTTGGTTGCTCTTCTTCCTCATTCATTGAGTCAGGGTCTCTCAATCAAACCCAGAACTTGCTGATGAAGCCTTGCTAGTTAGCTTGCTCTGGAGATCTTCTGTCTCCATCTTCAGAGGCTGGAAAAACAGGTGGGCTACCATGACCATCCAACATTTATGTGGATTTGGGGGATTCAAAGTACTTTATCTATTGAGCCATTTCCCCAGATATTTACTTTAAATGTGATTGCTAACCTGTAGCAATGTTTTATGCCTAATCACCTATAATGTGAACATCATTCTTTCTGATCCCTCATGAAAAATGCTACACATATTTTTGTTGGATTTCCTTCTTCATAGCAACATCGTAGTATGCACTCAACACTTTACTGATGTTGATACTAGATCCTTAAATGAATCAAAGTGGGAAAGTCAGAGGTGAATTGTGTAACGTACTCAGTCTTCAAGTAATGATGCCTGACTCAGTACTTCTATACGCTGTACTGTGTGTGTTGGGTTTTTACCAGAAAGAGTGACTGTCTTAACCTTTCCATGATGGGTCAGTTGTCTGGGAACACAGCAGATAACAACTTGTGATAGTCTCATTGTCTGAAGAGAAGAATCGGAGTAGAAGGAACCTCATTTCTTTTAGTTTAAATGATTTTAAATACCAGCATGTAAAAGCTCCATAGACTTTCGATGTCAGGTAGAACACTGGCTGCAGAGGTTCTGGGAACTGCTGGGGCTCCAGCCATCTGGTGTGACTTTGGACTTCGTTGGTGGGATGGATTCTTGTACTACAGTGTGGCTGATGGTTGAGTGGTGATGGAGAAACTACCAGCTGGCATTAAACAAACATATACTGTGAGGGTCAGAAACAATGTGTGTCAACCCCATCTGCTACCAAGTACAGCAGAGGCAGCATCTGCCGTTCCTCCTTTCCCAGGATTGTCAAGTGTGACCATGTA